TTTGCATTTTTACATTAGATATGTGCGTTGGGCTTGTGCTCAATATTTTGACGTTGGATCTTTGCGTCGGATTTGCACGTTCGATTTCTGCGTTGGAATTGGCCATTGTTTTTTTTCCGCTGGTTTTTTATATGGGATTTCTACGTCGGACTCGCCGCGCCAACTTTTTGCGCCAGCTTTCGCGCCGCCTCGCTCGCGATATTGATCTGTGGAAAGAATATCTCGCGACGAGAATTTCGCATTTGATTCGCGTTGGCCTTCTGCGGTGCATTTTAACCTTGAATGTTTTACGCGGGGTTCCTTCACGTCGGATTTTTCACCGTCGGATTTTACGTTTGATCTATGCGTTGGGTTTCGCGTTTAACTTTGCCGCGCGCGCGCTAGCTGTCGACGCTGTCTCCCGCGCCACTTCGGTCGCGCAATTGTTCTGCGGGAGGAGAGGGCTTGGCGGCAGAAGGATTCCGCATGGGACTTGCGTTTTGGTTTTTACGTTGGAATCTGCGCGTCGGGCTCTTACGCTGGGTCAGCGCATTGGACTCTCGCGCGTGATTTGCGCTGGCTTTCGCGCCGCCTCGCTTGCGCTATTGATCTGCAGTAGCAGAGGGATTCGTCGACAAGGATTTCGCATCAGACTTGCGCTGGATTTCCACATTTGATTTTTGCGCTGGATTTGCGCGCTTTTATTCTGACAAGAGAAAACGCGTTTTTCTACGTTGGGCTTGCGTCGGACAATAACATTGGGATATTGCGTTTTGTCTTTAAGCTTGACATGTGCGCGCCAGCTTTGTCCGCGCCGGCCCTAGCGCCGCTTCGCTCGCGAGTTTGACTTTCGGGCGTGGCGGGGCTTGCGGGGGGGATTTCGCATTGGGCCCCGTTTGGGCGTTCGCGCTGGGTTTTTCACGTTGCATTTCTACGTCGGGCTTTGCGCGATTTTTTTTCGTCGCGCGGTTCACGTTGGATTGTTCGCGTTGGATGTTGACGCTGCGTTGTTGACGTTGGATTTTCGCGTTGGATTTTCACGTTGGATTTTGCGCGTCAGCTGTCCACGCCGGCGCTCGCGCCGCTTCGCTCGCGCCGTTGATCCGAAGGCAATTGGCCCGCGCAAGGGGGGGTATTCGCGAGAGAGGATTTCGCACTGGACCTGCGCGAGATTTTCACGTCCGACTGTTGCGTTGGACTCTGACGCTGGGTTTCCGCGCGGGGCTTTCGCGCTGGACTTTCGCGTTGGGTTCCTGCGTTTGATTCTAGCGTCGCGATTGTCGCGCCCGCCTCTGGCGCCAGCTTTCGCGCCGCTTCGCTCGCGCGGGGCGGATTCGCGGGGGGGATTTCGCGTTTGACTTGCGTTGGATTTCAGAGTCGGACTTTTGCGCTGAGTTTTTACGCGAGATGTTTTACGTTTGGCTTTTTCGCTGATCTTTTATACCTTGGCCTTCCACGTTGGCCTTTCGCGTTGGATTTCCCCGTGGCAGCCTTTTGCGCCAGCGCCCGCGCCGCCTGGCTCGCGCAGTTGATCCGCGGAAAGGAACGGATTCGCGGAAAGGATGTCGCGCTGGATGCCGCGTTGGATTCGCGCGCTGGACTTTCGCGCTGATTTTTTTACGTTATATGTGCGTCGGAGTTGCAAGTTGGACTTTTACGTTGGATTTTTGGTGGGTTTGCACGCTGGAGTTGCGCACTCGATGTTGCCGCTGGATTTGTTCGTCGGGTTTCCGTTCGAGTTGTGCGTTTGATTTGTTGCGTTAGCTCCGCGCCAACCATCGCGGCGCCTCGCTCGGAGCGTTGATCTGCGGCAGGAGAAAGATTCGCCAGAAGGATTTCGCCTGGGACTTGCGTTGGGCTATCGCGCTGGATGTTCGCATTGGATTTTCGCGTTTGATTTTTAGCGTTGGGATTTTACGTTCGATTTGTATTCCCTACCTAGGCTCTGCATAGAAGGGTTCTTACTGTATAAGCTTAAAGGACCGGGCAATGGACCACGCCCGGGGCGGTTCCCCCGGCATCCGCCCCGCGGTTTCCCCAGCTTAGCTTATCTCATCATAGCTTAGCTTATATCATCTTAGCTTAGCTTATTCATCTTAGCTCAGCTTAGCTTAGCGTTGATTATCATATTAGCTTAGCTAATCTTAGCAGGGCTTAACATTGCTTATCTCATCTTAGCTTATCTTAGCATAGCTTACCACATCTTAGCTTGCTTTTTTCATCTTAGCTTATCTCATGTTTAGCTCATCGTAGCTTAACTTAGCGTAGCTTATCTCATCTTAGCTTAGCTTATTTCGTCTTAGCTTAGCTAGCTTTAGCTTAGCTTTAGCTTAGCTTTAGCTTAGCTTTAGCTTAGCTTATTCTTAGCTTTAGCTTAGTGTTAGCTTAGATTTAGCTTAACTTTAGCTTAGCTTTAGCTTAGCTGTAGCTTAGCTTTAGCTTAGCTTTAGCTTAGCTTAGCTTTAGCTTAGCTTCAGCTTAGCTTTAGCTTATGTTTAGCTTAGCTTTAGCTTAGATTTAGCTTAGCTTTAGCGAAGCTTTGCGAAGCTGTAGCTTAGCTGTAGCTTAGCTTTAGTTTAGCTTTAGCTTAGATTTACAGTTGCTACGAATGCTGCTTTCCTAAGGGCTCCAACTCCTAGGTAGGGTCGCACTGGGGTAATTAAAATCTGGTATTGCGTCAATTTTTTCTCAGCGTTCCCCCGCCGGCTCTCGCCCCGCTTCGCTGCGCAATTGATCTGCGGAAGGAGGGGCTTGCGCGCAGTACTTGTATGCTTAAGCGCTGGTTTCACGCATGATTTTTGAATTGGACCTCTACGCTTGATTTTGACGCAGCATTGTTCTTTTGCGCTGGCCCACGCGCCGCGTCGCTTTCGCAGCTGATGTGCGGGGGGAGAACGTTTCGTGGAACAGAGATTTCGCATTGGCCTTACGTTGGGCTTTCGCGTTGGATTGCGACGCTGGATTTGCGCGTTAGATTTTACCTCTGGCTTTTTCGTTGGTTTGTCACGTTGGATTACCGCGTTTGATTTTTACGCTGGATCATCTTGGGCCAGCTTTCTGCGCTGGCTCTCGCCGCGCCTGGCCAGCGCAATTGATCTGCGGAATGAGCGGGATTTGCGAAACGACTAATCCCGCATCGGACTTGCGTTGGGCTTGCGCATCGCTTTTGTTGCGTTGGATTCCCGCGCTGGGCTTCTACGTCGGAGCGGGGGCCGCGGGGGGGGCGGCCGGCGGGGTGGGGGCCGAAGGAGTTGAGGCCGCAGGATAAGGGCCGAAGGAATAGGGCGCGAATGAATAGGATTCGAAGGGGCGGGAGTCAAAGGAGCAGGCGCCGCGGGAGTAGGGGCTGAAGGAGTATGGGCCGCAGGAGTAAGAGTTAAAGGAATGGGAATTGAAGGCGTCGGGGCAGGGGGGGCAGGCGCCAGGGGGGCAAAGGCCGAAGGGGCAAGGGCCGGGGGAATAGGGGCCGAAGGAGTAGGAGCCGAAGGAATAAGAGCCAAAGGAGTAGGAGCCGATGGGGGAGGAGCTGCGGGAGTAGAGCCGAAGGAGTACGCGCAGAAGGAGGACTAGGAGCCGGATCTTTATGTTGGATCTTCAAATTTGGATTTTGACGTTGGAACTTTACGTTTGATTTCCACGTTGGATCTTTACGTTTGATTCATACGTATGATATTGATTCTGGACCTTTTACGCTGAATCTTTATCTGGGATGTTTACGTTGGACCTTTACGTTTGATCTTTACGTTGTACCCTGCGCTGTTCGCTATGCATTCCACGGAGCGCAACTTTGCACTTATTACTGTGCCCTGACGCCTCTAGCACTGAACACTTGCGGTTAACCATGTGTGACAGATGGCCGGTGCGACGGCGACTGGGGCTGGACAGATAGATAGATGCTCATAAACAAAAACTGGAACGCGAATGCGCGGCGATGCGGCGGCGACTGGCGGGGGCACATATAAATAGATCGATCGATCACTCACACCCAGTGCCAAACCAAAAGTGCGACAGCGCCCGGGGTTGGGCAGGCAGATGGACAGCCACATGCACCGACGCATCGGTGCGACGGCAACGGGGTGGTGGTACGTGGAGACAAATGGCCAGACCGCAACCGCCAAACAAAATCGACGGTGCGACGGCGGATGCTTTTTGAATGTTGACCAGAACGGAGGTCTTCACATGTAGAACCCACTTCATGTCAAGTGTACCTTGTTTAACGTCATGCCTGGGACTGCGATGCGCATGCCGATACCGATGCCGATCCCCTCCCCCGCAGGGAAGGGAAACTGCGCCACGCCACCACCCGCCAGCGCGGGGAGGGGCAAAGAAGCCCAACGTACCCTGCATGCGTGTCAGCTTCTCGGGCTCTCTTGCGCGCGCCCCACAACCCCCTTGACAGACTGATGACCCCCCGCGACCGCGCGTGAGCTGCGCGAGAGGACCAGACGGAATGGCGGGCAAAGAAATCCAAGTACCCTGCAAGCCTGTCAGTTTCGTGCGCTCTCGGCCGCGCGCCCCGATTGCGCCAGGGCTCCCATGCCAGACTGACAAGCCCTTGCGAGCGCATGCGCTGCGCGAGAGGAACAAACAGACGTAGCGGCGGGCGAAGAAGCCCAACGTATCATGAATGTTTGTCAATCTCCTAAGCTTCGGGCATGCGCCCCCAAATGCGCCAGCGCCCCCTTGCCAGACTGGCGAGCGCCCGCCAATGGATGGGCAACGCGCGTCGAGCAACCCAAATGGAGGGCGAAGAAACCCAAGCTACCCCGAATGCCCAAAAGTTTCTTGGACGTTCGGGCGCGCGCTCCTCAAGGCACGGACGCCCAAGAAACCCAGGGCGCCCTGCAATTGCAATGTCCTCGAGACCGAGACTGCTATAGCCTCCCATCTGGACCCAGGGCACCCTGACGGATCGCCGAAACATCGGGTGTTTCTCGTCATGTTCCTACGGCGAAAGCGTTCGTCGTCGTCGCCCGACGACGACAACGACGGCGACCGACGCCGACGCGGCCGAAGAGGTCCTGCGGCGCCCAGGCCCGCAGGCGCCGCCTTGAACGCCGGATGGCCTCGCCCCCCCCACAAGGGGGGGGCCACCGCCGTCGTCGCCGCCGCCGTCGTCGCCACCGTTGCCGCCGCCGTCGCCGCCGTCGCCGTCGCTGTCGCCGCCGTCGCTGTGGCCGCCGCTGCCGCCTTCGCCGCCGTCGCCGCTGCCGCCGCCGTCGTCGTCGTCGTCGTCGTCGTCGTCGTCGTCGTCGTCGTCGTAGTCGTCGTAGTCGTCGTCGTCGTCGTCGTCGTCGTCGTCGTCGTCGTCGTCGTCGTCGTCGTCGTCGCCGCCGCCGCCGCCGCAGCAGCCATCACCCTTCGCGTTCTCTTCGTCTCCGTCCCGCCCGGGTCATCTTCCTCGCCTCCCCCGCTCATCTCTCCCACGTCCCCCCTCCTCCTCCTCCTCCTCCTCCTCCTCCTCCTCCTCCTCCTCCTCCTCCTCCACCTCCGACGTCACCCCTGCCACCTCCCACTTCCTGCTCCGTTCTCCATCCTTCAATGATGTTCCTTCCTGCGTTCTCGAACCTCCGCCACTGTGTTCCATCCTGCTGCTGCTGCTGCTGATCCTGTTCCCTCCTCCTGTTACCTCCTCCTCCTCCTCCTCCTCCTCCTCCTCCTCCTCTTCCTCCTCCTCCTCGTCCCCCTCCTCCTCATCCAACTCATCCTGTGATACCTCCTTTGCCTCCTCATCCTTTTAGTCCCGTCTTCCTCCCCACTCTCCCTTCCTCCTCCCAAACTTCCGCTCCCCTCCCCCTTTCACTCCTCTCCTCCTCCTCCTCCTCCTCCTCCTCCTCCTCCTCCTCCTCCTCCTCCTCCTTTACTTCTGAGTTGCCCTGACCTGAATCCCACGACTGTGGCGTGCTTCCTCCTCCTCCTCCTCCTCCTCTTCCTCCTCCTCTTCCTCCGCCACCTCCTCTCCCTCGTGCTCTCCGTCTCCGTTCCCCTGCATCCCCACCCAACCTACTCCTGATACGCCGCTTCCTCCTCCTCCTCGTCCTCCTCCTCCTTCTCCTCCTCCGCATCCGCCTCCGCCTCCCGCCTCCGCCTCCTCCTCCTCCTCCTCCTCCTCCTCCTCCTCCTCCTCCTCCCCTCCGCCTCCTCCGCCTCCTCCTCGTCCACCTCTCCTCTCCGCCTGCGTTTTCCGTTTACACTGGTTCTGCTCCTCGTCCTCGGTTTCTCGGTTTCTCGGTTTCTCCCTAATGGCGCTCCCGAGCCCGCGCGCGCTCCTGATCCGCCGCCTCCTCCTCCTCCTCCTCCTCCTCCTCCTCCTCCTCTCCTGCTCCTCCTCCCTCCTCCTCCTCCTCCTCTCCTCCTCCTCCTCCTCCTCCCTCCCACGCCCCTTCCTCTGCCTCCTGCTCTCCGTCTCCGTCCCCTGCATTCCCACCTACTGCTGCTCCGCCGCTTCCTCCTCCTCCTCCTCCTCCTCTCCTCCTCTCCTCCTCCTCCTCCTCCTCCTCCTCCTCCTCCTCCTCCTCATCCTCGTCCTCCTCCTCCTCCTGCTCTCCGCCTACGCCTCCTCGTCCGCCTCCGCTTCCTCCTCCGCCTCCCCCTCCCCCTCCTCCGCTCCCACTCTCCCTCTCCCTCCCCGTCGTCATCTACCTCCTTCTCCGCTACCGCCGCCGCCGTCTCCTCCTCCTCCTTCTCCTCCTCCTCCTCCTCCTCCTCCTCCTCCTTCTCCTTCTCCTCTTCCTCTTCCTCCTCTTCATTCCCTCCCTTCCCTTCCCTTCCCCCCCCTTCCCTTCCCTCACCTTCCCTTCCCTTCCCTTTCCTCTCCCTTCCCTTCCCTCGCTTCCCTTCCCTTCCCTTCCTTCCCTTCCCTTCCCTCCCATCCCATCCCTTCCCTCCTCCTCCTCCTCCTCCTCCTCCTCCTCCTCCTCCTCCTCCTCCTTCTCCTCCTACATCCATCCACCTTCTCTCAATCCTCCTGCCGCCTCCTTTCCCTCCCCCTCCCTCTGCCCCTCTACCTCTGTTACCCCCCTCCTCCCTCCACAGCCGTTTTGTCTCAAATGTGGGCTCCGGTGCCCGCTGCGGGTGCGCGCGCAGCCACAGCCTTCTGACCCCAGAAGCCCTTCACATCCCGCGCCATGGCGACCCTGGGCCCTGCCTGGCCCAGGCAGGCACCAAAAACGACCACCCACGTCGTCAACATGGCCAACTCCGAAAACCCTGAAACCAAGAATGCTGACGCCTCACCTTTACTCCAGGTGTCGGAAACAGTTCAGCAACACTCTCGCGCAACATCTGGTTTGAACTCCGCCCGCTCCCACCGAATGCAGTGCTGGCTTCGGATCTTCAGAGTTTGAGTGTCCGAGCGGTGTTGCGTAACTGTGTCAACTTTGAAATGTGGGGGAATGGGGGAGAGTCCACGGAATAAACTAATGAATACTCGTGCCACATTCATCCGTCAATGCTTTCCTAAGGATTAATGTTGGTGGTAGGTTGAGCGAGTTGTATTTCGATCGCAGTTTTTCCCGCGCGTGCCAGCTTTGAATTGTGGGGGAGGAGGGGGGGCGGTCCATGAATTGCTTCCCTCAACCGCCCCACCGTATGGATGCAAGGGCCTTGCACGCCCATGCGAGGCTCTTCTAGTGGGGCTGGCCATCGAAAGTGGTTGAGAAAGGACCGAGGAAGATCGAAGAGGCAAGGATGCAGGGGTACCCTCGGGAAGTCGATCATCTTACTGTCAGGGTTGACTGTGCAGTAGGAGCTCGACCACACGAAACCTCCCTGAAGAGACCCAGCCCTGATACTCCAGGACGTCCATCGATTTTCGACATGGGAGCGCCATGCTCTCCATAGCAAGACCATCGAAACCCAGGAAACCCAGGGCACCCTGGAGACAAGCAGGGTGTTTCTCGGCGTGGGGGTTCACTGTACTCCCACCGCCTCACCCCCAGCAGCCCTCCTCCAGCTCCATTCCCTCTTCCTCCTCGACCTCCTCCTCCTCCTCCACCTCGCTCGCTCGCTCGTGGCTGGTGATGGTGATCATGTAGCCATGCTACCTCCTCCACCTCCTCCACCTCCTCCTCCTCCTCCTCCTCCAATATCCTCTTCCTCCTCCAATCTCCTCCTCCTCCACCTCCTCCTCCTCCAATCTCCTCCAATCTCCTCCTCCTCCTCCTCCTCCTCCTCCTCCTACAATCTCCTCCTCCTCCTCCTCCTCCAATCTCCTCCTCCTCCTCCTCCTCTCCAATCTCTCTCCTCCTCCTCCTCTCCTCCTCCTCCTCCTCCTCCTCCTCCTATCTCCTCCTATCTCCTCGTCCTCCTCCTCCTCCTCCTCCTCCTCCTCCTCCTCCTCCTCCTCCTCCTCCTCCTATCTCCTCCTCCTCCTCCTCCTCCTCCTCCTCCCCCTCCTCCCCCGCCGCCGCTGGCGGGCCCACCCCTGCTCTGCCTCCGCAGGGGCCCGCCCCGCCGAGGGCCAGGCGCGCCCAGGGCGAGGGAGGCCCCGACGCCCCTGGCGCGTGCCGCGTGGCAGCGACGGCCACCAAGAGGCTCGGGGGGAACGCAAGGGGGGGGGGATAGCAAAGGGCAGGGCACCCAGAGATCCAACGCATTGAAGTGTTTCGCAGTCTTCGGCCTCCAGGGGCCCTCGCCAGGCCCCCAGACCGTCCAAAAGACGATTCAGGAGGAAAGAAAGGTCCTGGGGAATCGGTCGAGACTTGCGGTGACCCCGCATTGAACAAATCACGACATCGGATGTCTGGGGATAGCAGAGGCTAGGGTAGAGAACCAGCTCACGTAGCCGATTTTCCCAGCGCCTCCCGGCGCCAGGAGGCGCCCGTGTATCGAGGAATGGGCCCTGTAGCGGGGCCGAAGCCAGCTGCATGCGGCAGATTTCGTACCCCCCCCCCTTTCCCTATCCCCCCCTTCCGTTCGGCCCGACAGGCATCTGTCCCGACCTCACCAGGAGCAGGGGCCGACCGTCCCAGCAGTCCTTGAGGCCTACCACGACGTGTTCTCAGAACCTAAAAAAGGTTCCATGAACAAAGGCACTGCTCTTAGAACACAAGTCCGACGTGTCAAACCAAGACGGTCTCAACCAGAAATGATGTGATAACATGTCTTGCAACCCACAAGAGGTTATCGGACATGTTTTTGGTGGGCCTATAGGCCAGCCAGGACGCCTCGCCACTGCTTGATTCTGCTTCTTCGGCCCGCCGCGGGTGCCATCTCCAGCGCTCTGCGGCGCCACGCGCTCGCGACGTCACGGAGACCACCCTCGAGATCCCTCTCGAGAGGGATCCAGGCCCGCCTCCACGACGGCCGCCCCCCAGGGCTCCTGCCTCCTGGCCGGTGGCACGCTGCCCCTGCAGCGCAGGGCTGGCGCCGCGCGTGGCCGGCTCCGCGCGTGGAGCCTCCGGAGGCCGCGCGCTGGACCCGCGCGCGGAGGAGCCTGGCCCGCACGGCCACATGGAGGGACGGACCGAGCGCTGGAGAGACACCCCGCGGCCACGTGACCAGCCGGCTCTCGCCCAGGCCAGCCTCATCGCGTGCATCCAGCTCCCTCGTGCATCGCCGCGGTGTGCCCCCCAGCGTCTGGGCGTGCTCGGGGTCCCAGGTCCCGCACCCCCGTTCGCGCCCCGCCTCGAGTGCCGCTCACCGGCGCCGAGCTCCGACGGCCCCGGCCTCCAGCCTCCCGCCTCCCCGAGGAACCACACCCTGGACAGCTTGCTGGGGGCCCTCGGCAGCCTGGCCACGGCCGAGCTCTTCTCTGCGCTCCGCCCGTGCACCAACCCCAGAGGGGGAAGGAGTGCGAGGTGTCGTGCTTGCTGGCAACAGCTGGGAGCACAAGCATCAGCAGAGGTCAAACACGCGGAGTCGTTTAGTAAAGGTGCCCAAGGAAGGAATCGAACAGGGCAGGGCTGTGTAGTAAACGCCCAGGGCCGTTTAGTAGACGCCGATTATCGGGTCCGGGTGGTATTTCCTCCCTGGAATCAGCAAGCTGAGATACAAAAAACGAGATGAGGAGGGACCTCTGCACGAATCCAATACTCCCGAAAACAAGACGGGACAAGCGGAGCGGGAGGAGGAGGAGGAGGAGGAGGAGGAGGAGGAGGAGGAGAAGGAGGAGGAGAGGGAGGAGGGGAGAGGAGGAGGAGGATAGGGAGAGGAGGAGGAGGAGGAGGATAGGGAGGAGGATAGGCGGAGGATGTGAGAGAGGAGAGGAGGAGGAGGAGGAGAGGAGGGAGGGGAAAGGAGGAGGAGGAAGAGGAGGAGGCGGAGGAGGAGGAGGAGGAGGAGGAGGAGGAGGACGAGAGGAGGAGAGGAGGAGAAGAGGAGGAGAGAGGAGAGGAGGAGGAGGAGGAGGAGTAGGAGAAGGAGGAGGAGGAGGAGAGGAGGAGAAGGAGGAGGAGGAGAGGAGGGGAGTAAAAAAGAGAGAGGAGGAGGAGGAGGAGGAGGAAGAGGAGAGGAGGAGGGGAGGAGGAGGAGGAGGAGGGTAGGGAGGAGGGAGGAAGGAGGAGGAGGAGGGAGGAGGGGAGGAGGAGGAGGAGGAGGAGGAGAGAGGAAGAGGATGAGGGGAGGAGGAGGAGGAGAGGAGGATGAGGAGAGGAAGGAGGAGGGAAGGAGGATGAGAGGGAGAGGAGGAGGAGGAGGAGAAAGGAGAAGGAGGAGGAGGAGGAGAGGAGGGGGGCGGGGAGGAGGAGGAGGAGGGGGAGGAGGAGGAGGAGGGAAGGAGGAGGGAGGAGAGGGAGGAGGAGTGGGCGGAAGGAGGAGAAGGAAGGGTAGGAGGAGAGATGAGGGAGGAGGATGGAGGAGGAGGAGGGAGGAGGAGGAGGAGGAGGAGGAGGGGGAGGGGAGGAAGGGAGGAGGAGGAGGAGGAGGGAGGAGGAGGAGGGAGAGGAAAGGGAGGAGGGACTGGGAAGGAAGAGGAGGAGGAGGCTGGAGAAGGAACCCCGATGAGGAGGAGGGAGGAGGAGGAGGAGGAGGGGGGGAGGAGGCAGAAAAGTAGGAGAGGCGGAGGATGAGGAGAGGGAGGGGGTGAGGAGGAGTAAGGCGGGGGAGGGAGGAGGAGGAGGGGGAGAAGGAGGAGGAGGAGGAGGAGGAGGAAAGAGAAAGTCGAGATGCTGATGCTGATGGTGATGATTGATGCTGATGCTGATGCTGATGCTGATGCTGATGCTGATGCTGATGCTGATGCTGGTGCTGCTGATGATGATGGCAATGCCAACGACGATTAGGCTGATGCTGCAGTTGATGTTGTTGTTGATGATGATGATGATGATGATGATGATGATGACGATGACGATGATGATGCTGATGATGCCGATGCTGATGCTGATGCCGATGCTGGTGCTGATGCTGCGGCTGCTGCTGCTGTTGATGACGACGATGCTGATGATGATGATGCTGCTGCTGATGATGATGAGGATGATGAGGATGATGATGATGATGCTGCTGATGATGATGATGACGATGATGATGATGATGCTGCGGCTGATGAAGATGACGATGAAGATGAAGATGAAGATGAAGCTGAATATGAAGATGACGATGAAGATGAAGCTGAAGATGAAGAAGATGAT